GTTTCGTTAGTAGGGAGACACAATCCTTCTATTATGAGGTATTGGGCGCGGGAAAACCAGCACAGAAGTGTTGTTTACTGAACTCAACGTCCTCAAAAAGTTAACGTCTGGACTGACATTTTAGGAGACCACATAATAGGTCCATTTTTTATTGAGGGCAACTTGAATAGTAGAGTATACCTCGATTTGTTACATAATCATGTTCTTCCTGCTATTCTCAATCTTCCTGATGTAAATCTGGAGAATGTTTGGTTTCATCAAGACGGCTGTTCAGTTCACAACGCTCGAATTATTAGGGAGTATTTAAACAATACTTTCCCGAATCGAGTTATCAGTGGAACAGGCGATATTAAGTGGCCTGCGCGATCTCCAGATCTTACACCCATGGACTTCTTTTTTTGGGGACATTTAAAAAGCATTATCTACGCTCATCCTGAGGCTAGAGCCCAACATTTGGATGAATTAAAAAATCGAATAAGAGAAGTCTCCAATTCTGTTACAGCAGAAACTCTTTCATCTGTTCGCAGAAGTTTTTATGACAGATTGGGGTACTGTTCAGCCGTAGAAGGTCAACTATTTGAACCATTTCTGTAGGTCATAAAGAATTATTTTTTATTTTATTAGGAATAATATTTTAATTTTCAATAAGAGTATATTTTTTATTTTATCTTTTTAAAGAAATACGCTTTTATTTTTAATTCAACCACAAAAAAATTTTCACATTAATAAAAATTAACAATGCACCGATTAGGTCAGTGCATTTTTATCGAATTTCCTACTATTAAAATCGGCTGTACGTAATGAAACATAAGGTCGGACTACAGAGAAGTACATCCCAAACGTTGTTGTGAGTTACTAAACTAAAATAAATGATTTTCTGTCGGTGTAGATACTGAGATAGTCTCGGGTCGGAGAACGAACATTTGCAACGTTGCCGATTTTAGCGCTCCGTATAGTGTGCAATACCTAATCAAAAACTTAACGCACTGTATGTTCCGTTTCGTTACATACTTAAATTTATAAAATAAAAATCGATATTTTAAACCATTATTTTTCAATACTTTGGCAACTTTGGAATTAGCTTCGTTCCAATTCCGACCCACAGATAGCCGTAAAACTCATTTTTGCTTTGGATTTTCATACGTCTTTCCCCACTTCTCCGCCTTTAAACGATGAATCACTCTTGAAATTGTGGAATTGGTGTTTAGGACGTTTTATTAAGAATACAAAAAGGAAAAGAGTTGTTAATCACAATAGTAACAACCAAAAAAGCATACCTTGGTCACATCATGAGGAACAGCGAAAGATATGGGTTGTTGCAATTAATTCTACAAGGAAAAGTAGAAGGAAAACGAAAACCAGGAAGGCCAGGAACCAGGAAGGATTTCCCGACTGAAAAATCTACGTACTTGGTTCATTATAACAACCACAAATCTTTTCAGAGCAGCAGCGTGCAAATTACAGATTGCCGTGATGGTCGCCAACATCCAAAACGGATAGAACTACAAAAAGTTATAGGTAGTAACTCCACTTTTATACATTGGTTGTTAGATTGTTCCTTTTGTATATTGGACAATTAGGCTTAATCTTTAATCTTTATTTTATATACTGTAATATCAATTGTGCAAATAAATTGAACCGAAGTTTAATTCTCGTTACAATTGATTCTCATGAGTTCTTTAGTTACAAAGACTGTTAATATATCTGTAATTATAGCAATAGCAGTACTTATAACCTTAATTATAACAATGGTATTATTAAATGATGGCCCTGATAAAAATACATTGTTGTTGTTGAACCCTAAAAACTATCACAATCACGATTCATTTTAAATAATGCTTAATTCTCCAGGAATTATATTTACTTTCACATTCTAAAGGTTAATTAGCAATTAACTTTTATTTTCCATACATTTTTTAACTTCATGTCATCTTGATGACCTGATTGTAAGATCATCATTCGACTCTGATTGTAAGATCAAAAGGACATTCGGAATGTAACCCATTTATCTACTATCATGTACGATAACTAACCTATTTTTTCCAAAAGTTCTTAAACAATCTCTTGCAATTCTTATTTAGTGCAACGATCGCAGATACACTCAGGCCATACGATTGTTCTTTTTTCAGAAATCTAATTAGTTGTTCCATGAAGTTCGGAAACAGTTACATATCCTTAAATGTAGAATAATTAAGAGGTAGAGCAACTCTTTAGATATAATTCTTGCTCTAATATTTTCTTATGTTTTTTTTTTGTGGTAAATTCTTCACTATGATTTCCTTCATCAGTTCTATTATTCTACGAATTCTGCGTCACTCGATTTGAATTTAACTTTACCTAATGCTGTCAACCTAGCAAAACTTTAGATGAGTCAAAGTGATAAAAATAATTTTTGAATCAAGTAGATGATTGAACAGTGACGTTTTCGGGATGAATGAGACGCTTTTGGATCTCATCTGGATGGTACAGTTTTAGATGATATATATTCTGTTTTTATTCTTCTGGCCTTTGTCACAATTCCATACTTCTTCTAAACAAAGCTGTAAGCCAATTTACACCTGTCTCTCCTAATGCTGTCTACACTTTCTCCGGGATATCATCTGGTTCAACGGCATTAATTTTCTTTATTCTTTTAAGTACTTGAGCAACTTCCTCGTTTATTATTTTGGTTGTTACTGTCATAATTGTCAAAAGGTTTATCGATTTTCTTCGTTTAATTCAACAAGTAGGTAAAATTATTCGTTTAATCAACTTTCAAAGAATGTGTTGCGTAACAACAATACCTAATATTTTTATTTTATTTTTGTATCATATTATTATATCATACTGTATATTAGCTTAGATTTATAAAATTCCTTTGTACCATCTAATAATCTGTAAGGCGCCGATAGCTTGCATTCAAACAACTTTCTAGACACAAACTTCTAAAACCTTCAAAGAATCTAACAATGAAGGATTAGTATTTTCCAAATTATGGGTTTGAGTCATTCGAAATGTCCGAACATGTTCCGAAAAGTTACCCTTCTCAGGTAATTTTATCAATAAAATGAAAATCGAAGGTATTTGAAATGTAAACATATCCTTTAAATACGTAGAGGGGTTCAGGGGGAGATTTCTGAATATTTAGAAATAATTTCGAGCCGAGGGATTGAAGGAAGTGTTCAGTATCATTTCAAATTCCAGCATTGGCTGGAATTTCAATTGTATCACCGACAACTTATATAGTTTTGTAGTTTCACAAAGTTTAGTTTCATAAATCGGCTATCGTATGCAAGTTATCGGCGTCCAAAATATGTTGTAATTGTTTAAATAAACTTGTTAAAACGTTCCTTTCGAATCTTTCATTTGTCCCAGTTTTCTGGGTGGTCCTTCAAAGAAGTATATAAACTGAACCTATTTCCCTAAGGAAAAACCTTGTTCCCCAAGGGAAAAAACCAGCGACCTATGACTGGTGCGCGAAACAAAGCCATCAGGACAAGGTGTAAGGACAACCACACCTGCATCTTCGCTCAGTATGTTTTTCCAACGCTTTTTGACATGGTTTTCGTCAACTAATATTTTATTGATATAAGGTTGAATGCTGGAATAAATGACCTTTGATCAAATAAAAGGCAGTTTATCGTTATAGTCCTTAAAGGCACAGTTTAATTAATTTAATCTTGCCCAAGTCCTTTCGCTCCCTAGAGCATTTTCAGGGACATTTCGTCAATTGTGGCCTATCCTACAAGAATAAACTGTTAGAAACATAAAACGGTACATCACACTACACTACACAAGGACAAACACTTTAAAATGTTTTAAAATAGGCGAAGCCACATTGTGTACGGAAGCCGGAGACATATTTTGTCTCCGGCTTCTGTACACAATACAATTAATATTTTATTATTTTTATCTTCGATACCTAATCGTATTTTCTTGGCAGTCATTGCATAGTTGTCTATATTTTTTACTTCTCTTTTATTTTTTCTTAAACTACTTTCTCAAACTTCTTTCCCTGAGGTTTTCCAAGTATTTTAACTGCAGTATATCTAATAATGTTTCAACTCATTTTTTCTACTGCTTTTGCCCCGCGTAATCCTTGTGTCATTTTTTAATATCCACTATTTAATATTTCATGCCCTTCTCAGATATTTTGGTTCCGTTTCGCTTCTTATTTCAATGTCCTACTCAAACAACTTATGTTGTTGGCTTGCAGTCTCACTGAAAAAGAGAAATTTTCTCTTGTGACCTTACCACGTGACTAAGATCTTCGCCCTCGGTAATCACTATTTGGGTGTCCACGAATAAAAATATAAAAAGCTTACATCATTATTCAGAAGCAGAAAAATATTCTCACGCTGAAAAATCTTAAATGCGGTGGGTGATAAACCACAAACTTGTCTTAAACCCTCAGGCGTTTTAAACGGGCGGTGATTTCATTTCCTATTTTAATTCCTGCGTAGTTATGTTCGTAGTATTTTCGCGTCGACCTAATAAATATGGGATTTATTTTTAATTTTTCAATTCATTCCACACTTGTGAAATTGACAAGTGACTTTTAATGTGAAATTATTGTCAATAGAGGACCATCCAGCTCTAAGTCCTGTTTTTCGGGTTGTATGTTTTGACGTATATTTCTATTAGTTCCGTATCTCTCTGGAATATAATCTATCTACATACAGTCGATATTACTGCTATCCTTAAGTAACTTTTAGGATCAGTTTTTGTCTATTTCCTATATATTCATGTAAGATTGTCTCCCTTTTTCTAGAATCTATTCTCTGCTCAAACACACTTCAAATAATTAGTGTACATTTTCCATATCTAATCAGCTCTGGGTACATTCCGACTGGACCCAAATTGCTTCTTTTAATTCGTCTATTGATTGGTCTGTCATTCCTGTACTTTCACCAGTTCGTTTGTTTATATCCTGAATACTTTATTTTATTGAGAAGAATGTATAACTTTTTAATCGCTTAAAACCGCTATAAATGACTAAATAATTAAAAAACACAACTTACCTAATACATCTATAGCATATACTGGTCTCGTATTAGCGAAGGTGTCCAAATTCAAGCACCACAGCGCCACGCCTGATCCCAAGCCATGTAGGAGCACCAAGGGAGTTTTTTGAGACTCTGTGTTGAAGGAGAGTGTCCATATCTTGTCAGCGGGACCGACAACTGGTCCGATGTCTACATAAAATCCTTTGTAGGGGACTTTCAGTACTGAAAAAATATTAAAATTTCTACATCTGCTAAAATATTAACTTAAAACCAAGACATAAATGGAGAAAATGTTTATTTGGAAGAAAGTTGACTGATATATGTTTAAAAATTTAGACAGAAGCCCTATTTTATATCGGCAACAACGCTATGCTACGTCAAGGATTTGCAGATAAGATGAAAGATACTAATCAATTTCGCCTAGTTTTGTCATTCCGTCAAATAAGCCCCAATTTTTTATACAATGAAATCTCTAATAGATAACAAAATTTAGAAGAATATCTGAAGATATTGACGTTTTTAGATTTCAAACAGGACTACGACTCAATTAATAGACAAAAGTTATATCAAATATTGTACGGCTTTAACGCCCCCCAAAAATACATCCGATTAGTAAAAGCAACACCAACACCAAGGATTCACCAACAGCAACTGTCAGAGTACAAAATGAGCTCACTGAGAACGTTTCAATAGCCAAAGGATTAAAGCAAGGAGACGTTCTAGTACCACACTATGTAACCTGACTCTCGAATATATAATAAGACAGCTGAATATAATATGAAGAGGTAATCTCCTAACAAACAGACCAATACAGATTGCCGCCGATGCCGACGACATTAGTATTATGAATTACAAAACAGAAGAGACGGCAGAAATATATTCACAATTAAAAACAGGGGCGAAAGAGACCGAACTGAAATAAATATTCAAAAGACAAAGCTAACACATGCAAGAGTGTTTCACATATCTGGGAGTTACATTAAACACCAATGGAGCAGAAGTACCAGAAATTAAAAGAAGAATATTAAAGGGAAACAAAGCTTACTTTTCACTCGCCCATGCACTCCACTGCGCTCCAAAAACACTCACTGGAGACCGAAAATCACGGTCTACAAAACTATTATCAGACCAATAGTATGTTATGGATGTGAGACATGGTTGATGACAGAAGACACAAAATGAAAGTTGGATGTCTTCTAAAGAAAAGTCTAAAGGAAGATACTTGGACCTAAAGAAAACGAAGTATGGAGATTCAGGTACAACCATGAACTCCACCAACTGTTTAAAGAGGCACCAATCTCAGAATTCGTTAAACTTCAGAGACTTCGATAAGCTGGTCATGTAATGAGAACAGAGACCGGGAGATTGCCAAAGAGATCCCTAGATAGTAAAATGCAGGGCGCAAGACCAATATAATATATATATATATATATATATATATATATATATATATATATATATATATATATATATATATATAAGAAATACTGGAAATACTACTATTAGTACAATAGTGACTGGTCTAATCAATAAAACAGTATATATATATATATATATATATATATATATATATATATATATATATATATATATATATCTTCTAAAGCTCTGGAGGGATTAGGAAATGCCGAAAGGTCTTAATCCCAATGAAAGAAAAATCCAAATCTGCAACCTCCACGTGGTAGAAGATGGGCAACATCTATTTATAGATGGCCAATGCAGATAGGGACCAAGTGTTTGCCGGTATAAGCAATCTCTCACTTACTGACCAACGGCTACGGGCGGATGAGTTAGTAAGTGATAGGGCACTCTTTTGTCCTGGAGTTGAGAAATCGACTCCAAAGGCGGATGAACTAAAGAAATGGTCAACGGCAGCACTACATTAAAGATGTGTAAATAGATATCTCTTGTCAATTATCATGGCTACTATAAATGACAATTTCACAACTACTGATCATAGACATCGGATACCAAGATCCGGCAGGAGAGGCAATTCACAGTTAGACCGCGGGGCCTCCCAGGTCGCCGACATGCGAAAACCCCGCGTCAGGCACAAAAATATAAACGAACTGCAGATAGGTACCTGGAATGTAAAGTCTATATATGAAGCAGGGAAGATCCATAATGTAATACATGAGATGAGGCGACTTAAAGTTAATATAATGGGACTAAGCGAGACCAGATGGAGTAGATCTGGCGAAATCGAAGTGTACGGTGCCAAAATATACTATTCCGGAAATGAAGATATTCACCACTATAATGGCGTCGCTATAGTGGTTGATCGCAGTTTCTGCCAAGCTGTAACTTGTTTTGTTCCTATATCGGATAGAGTGTTAATGATCACAGCCCAAACAACGCATAGAACTATTAATATCATACAGGTGTACGCCCCCACTGCAGATAAAGATGAAAATTAAATAGAAGAGTTCTACAATGACATTAAAAAAGCACTAGAAAGCACCAATAATAGAGATATAATGATAAAAATGGGGGATTTTAATGACAAATTAGGAAAAGGTAAATTCCAAGACATTATTGGTGAATTCGGAATGAAAGACTGACGGAATTCTGTCAGGAGTTTGAAATGATAGCGACAAATACATTTTTTCAGTTACCACCACGTAGATTATATACACGGAAATCACCTAAGGATAGCAAAGAAAAAATTATCAGAAACCAGATAGATTATATCCTTATCAATAAGAGATACCGTAACTTCATCAGATCGGCAAAGACATATCCAGGAACAGATGTGTCATTAGACCACAATCCAGTAATCGTAAAATTCGAAATCCACTTAAAGAGAATAAAAAAACAACAAAAGACATAACAAATAAGCACTCTGCTAAAACACCCGAATACAAAAGGAGAACTAACGTTGAAAATTAACGAGGAGTTAAGCAAAACAATAATCAATGATAATGGAGATTCCAACGAAAAATGGGAAAAATTTAAGAACACATTAATGATGCCAATTAAAATACGATGAGTAGTCACAAAATCGATGAAGCTAAGACTCCATGGATGACAGGTGAGATCCGGCTAATAATGGACAAAAGAAGATCATACAAAAACAAAAATGTAAACGAATACAAAGCCACACACAAGGAGATCAGGATAAAAATACGGGCAGCTAAAGAAAAGTGGTACAACGACAAATGTTTAGAGATAGAAGAACTCCAGAGAAATCATGATAGTTTTGAAGTGTACAAAAAAATTAAAAAATTAGCAGGTATAAGACGGTCCAACAATAGTAACACCCTGGTTGATACGAATGGTAAAATAATATCTAATGTAAAAGGCAAACTAAACAGATGGAGAGAATACGTCCAAGAATTGTTTGAGGATGACAGGACACAACAAGATAGCACGAACGATTGCGAGGAACATGATATAGGTCCAAATATAACTAAGGATGAAATAATACATGCAATAAATCTGGCAAAATCTAATAAAACTGCGGGACCTGACACAATTCCAACTAAAATAATTAAATTAATATCAGAAGATCAGATCAATGTATTAGTAGACTAATATAATACTATATATAATACAGGTATTATTCCGAGAGATTGGCTCAAATCAACATTTATTACATTACCAAAAAATCCTAATGTAAGGGAATGTAATGATCATCGTATAATTAGTCTAATAAGTCACACACTAAAAATATTCTTAAAAATTATCCATTTAAGAATTTTCAGAAAAGTGGAAAAAGACTGTCAATCACTGAAACCCAATTTGGATTTAGGAATGCCATGAGTACACGAGAGGCATTATTTGGATTTAACGTCCTCATGCAAAGATGTATGGATGTAAACCAACCACTCTATGTTTGTTTTATATTATCTTATTATAATAAGGCATTCGATAAGGTCCCACACAACCGTCTTATACAGTTACTTAAAGAGAAACACATTGACAAAAAACTTAACAACAAAATGACTTTAAAAAAACATTGACTTAAGAATAATAACTCATCTCTACTTTAACCAAACAAAAGTCAGAGTCGACAGAGAACTTTCGGAGGAAGTAGAGATAAAAAGAGGCGTAAGGCAAGGTTGCATACTCTCCCCCTTATTGTTCAATCTATATTCGGAAGAAATAATTAAAAAATCACTCGAAAATGTAACAATTGGAATAAAAGTCAACGGCAGACCCATCAACAATATCAGATATGCCGATGATACTATACTAATTGCAGAGAATATACAAGATCTACAGACACTTTTAGATAATGTAGTAAATGCTAGTGAGGAAAGCGGACTAACGCATAATTAAAACAAAATTTATGATAATTTCCAAAACACCACAACAAGACAGTTTAAACATAAGAGGAGTTCCAATAGAAAAAGTAAAAAAAATACAGTCTTCTTAGTACAAGTATTAATGAAAATAACGAGTATACAGAAGAAATAAAAATGAGAATTGGACAAGCTAGAGCAACATTTAATAAGATGAGAAAAGTATTATGCAGTAGAGACCTTAGTTTACAACTCAAAATAAGAATATTACGTTCTTATGTGTTTTCGGTGCTGCTGTATGGGGTGGAGGCCTGGACCTTAAAGAAAGAGGTGAGCGATCGACTTGAAGCATTCGAGATGTGGACCTACCAAAGAATATTAAAAATAAGTTGGGTAGACCGAATAACAAATGTTGAGGTTCTCAGAAAGGTGACAAAGGAAATGGAAATCATGAATACAATTAAGATAAGAAAGTTACAGTATCTCGGCCACGTTATGAGAGGGGATAAATATGTGTTGCTACAAACCATAATGCAGGGAAAAATACAGGGAAAACGAAGTATTGGAAGAAGACGCATCTCCTGGCTCAACAATCTGAGAAAGTGGTATATAATTGCAGTTCCGTCAACTTGTTCAGAGCTGCAATTTCAAAAGTGAAAATAGCTGTGATGATTGCCAACTTCCTTAGAGGAGATGGTACCTAAAGAAGAAGAAGATATATATATATATATATATATATATATATATAATATATATATATATATATATATATATATGAAAATCTGAAAATCACTAGGTTCTCGGGAAGAACCGCGTTGAGAATTTAATGCTCGACGTTTCGGCTCCCATTTTGGAGCCATTATCAAGAGGCATATGGTTTGGTTCGAGTTCAGGGTCTCAATCTTCCTACTCCCCTCACTCGAAACGTACCAGTATCGTGTTCTGTATTATAAATACAAGAACTGTCTCTCGGCTCTGAGGTCTCAATCTGCCTACTCCTCAGTGTCGAGTGACAACCGGTCTTACCCTGTGTCTCTGCTTTTATACTCGCTGTACGCGCAGGAACGGTATGGGCTGACGTGGTCTGTTGTCTGCGCATATAACAGACTAACAACCTAAGTTCAGTTTTTTCAGTTTTCTTAGTTGAGTAGGGTGTCATTTTAAATCCTCATCTGAAATTAATATTATGAATCCTCAATACTTAAATTTGTCTATCCTTTTGGTTTCTCTTTCGTTATCTATTTCCATTTCATTTCTTGTGTAGTGTTCAAATTTTCTAATCATAAAAATGAGGTTGTTTTCAATTTTGTGATAACTACTTGATGTTCAGTGAGACTTAAGATGCACATAGGTATACATCACATACTGGTATGTTCATTCATTTTTGTAGATTTAGAGTTTTCTTTACCAATATTTGCAACAAAGTGGGGGACATAGAGAAAAAAAAAACTTTACAACAGTCATTTTGCTGTCTTAAACAGGCTGTATCTTTGCAGAGTATTTTACTGTATAGTTTAGTCCTAGTCATTGAGTCATGTGCCTTCTGAAGGCCATTCTTTTTTCTATGAGTTATATTAGACCAAAAACTTAGGATAAGTGAGATAAGTAAACTGCGAAACTGAAAGGAATAAAATTAGCATATTAATACATACATAGTTTTTGAACAATGTATGCTAGAATTATTGACTAAAAAATTTGTGGAAAAATAAGAAAGGTGCAAAAACGGAATCATTGATGTTGTCATTAAGGCAGAGATCCTTCCAAATGTATTTATAAGAGCCAAAACAATGAGTACTGATAATTTGCAACTGATAGCACACATGAAGTGGAACTGGTATAGACACATGGCAAAAATGAATTATGCTAAGTGCATATGTCACATAATGGAGTGATATCCTCAATTTTATTCATATAGAGTAGTGGACCTCTAATATGGTGACGCAAAGGTTTAAAACAAAATAAATTAAGATGGCACAAGATTGGATATATTGGGGACAACTTAGAGAGGCGTATCTTAAGCAGTAGATGGTACAATCTGTGTTGATAATGATGAATTCAAGTTTGAAACATTTTTGCCTTAAATACTGTTAATTTAGATTACTCACTGGTGTATACCATCATTAATTCTGAGAAAACTTTCTTTTTTAAACTTTTTTTATAATTAAAGAATTTTAAGTGTTCACACTCATATATTAAATCACAAAACTATTCTGTGCATAGCTAAAAATTTCAATTACCTTACAAAACAAACTGGTGGCATACAAAACAATATTTGTAGCCTTATGGTCTTATGAAGTCTAAGAATGTGGTCTTGAATGACTATATTTCCTAGATTTCAAACAAAAACATCTCTAATTATCTAGAAATGCCATATGTGTGGTCGTGGACAGAAGCAGACCACTCAATTTTTGAGAAAAAAATTGTTATTTATTAAAAACACCTAAAAAAATTATCTATTGCTGACATAAGGCAGACAAGTCAAATGTTATATGTGTGGCTTCATATCAAATAGTGATCTTTTTCATACTAGCAATTTTATTCAGTTTAAATATGAACTCAGACAATCAAGTTCTTTTATCTGGTTTAGATTGGTCTATACCTAACCAAAACGTTTGACTTAACTGATAAGGTGCACTTGTCCAGTTATCAGTGGAATGCTTGCTAGCGAAAAAGACTGACAGGGTCATGAGAAAGATATTATGTAAATGATAGGTTCATTTAATTTGGAATGTGGGTAATGATTACATTATGGCTTTCATGTTTAATACTGACTTAAAAAATTAAATGGCAGATGTAAACAATGTGTACAACTCTCAACAAAAATGCTTTTAGAGGAGAGGGATATGCTTTTCATACTTAAAGAGAGCAGCATATATGGCATCTATAATTCAAGTGAAAGAAAGTGCTTCACATCGCCCAAGAACAATGGATCTGGACCAGGTTAAATGCAGATCAAGTACTATCTGTCATGGCTGTATACTTAATATTTTCAATGAAAGCAAAAACTTGATTTAAACTATCACCAGTAAGTTGATGTACCAAAAAAAGAAAATTAATGAAGAGAAACAATTAGAAATAAAAAATAATATACTATCATTTCCAGTGTATGAATGTCACTATTCACGAAAGCACACTTTGAAGTACTTACTGTCTCATGTAACTTTACAAAAAATGTATGAATTGTTCAAACAATCCTCACCTGTATGCCCCTTAAAATGCTCTAAAATTTATTCATAGGAATTAAAAAGCTTAACTTTGGATTTAAACAAACTAGAAATCATCAGTTGCATTTTATAGGACACAGCTTTGGATGTTTAATTTTGAGAAAAAAAAAAAGAAAAAACTGATATTCAAATATTTTACCATCATGACTGAATGCAACTTGTATATTCAAGCAGCTCTTAATTTAGAGATCTTTAGCAGACCTTATCTCACTACTACCTCTAATTCCTATTTTCTCTCATACTGTATACATACAAATACTACGGCTCAAAATATGCAAGCCAATTTTGTAAGTGATTATGGAGAACCAAATGAATTAAAATTTTATGCTTTTGATGTATTATAATTGTATTCTTTAATTTTTATTTCGCAGTAGGTAATATATTTTTTTTTAATTTAAAATTTGCACTTCATTTGTGCCTTATAAGGTAAGTTAATAAAGAACCTAACACTGTCTAACTGGACAAGTCAATCAAAATCGAAGTGTTTAACATTTGTTTGTATTAAATGTATCTTAAACATATAATTGTAATTAATGCGACATTTACGTTTAATTTTAAGAAAGTTTTTTTCAATTACTGAAATAACTCAAATTTTGACTTGTCTGCTTTCATCTGCTGACCACACATACTTATATAAGTTCCAGTATAGAGCAAGCCCTAATTCAATATTTAATTTTCATTCAAAAATAAATCTTTTATGGCTAAATCCAACAGAAAATAGGACTATAATATTAACTCTTGTGTCTATTATAGTTCAACACATCAAATTATTTTTTTTTTGCAATTTTTATACTGCACCATATGCAATTGCTATATTTATACTCTATTTAGAAAAATGGGCCAGATTTCAAACTCCACTTAGTAAAATGGGTCAAATAGAGCTAAAAGCTCTACAAATTATAACAATAATAATTGTACTTACTGCTTAAAATTCTTTTTTCTAGGGCTCTTAACATACTTTCTGAGTATTTATTCCATGACAACCAATTTGGGCTCACCCAACTGAAAAAAATTACATTTTTGGATTAAACTACAACACTTACATAATATTGCCCTAATCTATATATAGTTACCTTAATACTGTAATGGCTACTACATAGTATACTTTTGAAAGCACTTTAAAAAATGGTGTGATCATTAAACAAAATAATTTATTGACTAATCTCATCTTCAACAAGATATCTTAACATTCTAATAGGAAAACGTGAAGACTATGTTGTTTTATGATAAAAAAATAATTAACAAAATTTCACCTTTCTTCGTCACATTTTTCTGAATCACTTTCTTTTTGTTTCACTAACATTTCCTGTTAATGTAGATTTCTCTATGTATGTATATATTTTGATAACCTATACTTAACTGAATGTAAATAATAAAAAATAAACCTATTTATTCCTGATAACTGGTTGAAGATTAGCGCATGTATAAATTAGTCATCACTACTTTGTTCTTTAATCATAATTTTAAATGAGAAAATATTTGATAAATGCGAAAAATCATTAATCCTTGAACCTTGCCTTGGAGGAATAAAATGTCAAACTCAAACTCAATCAATCAACAAATATTGTTTATTCGCTTAGCTAGGGCATATTTTGACAGACTCATTGTCGGAAACCTACAACACAACAATTCCTACTTCTCAGTATTAATAGCTCAAGTATACTACTAGGTATTGCAGACTTCTTTCTTTGAAAAAAAAGAAGAATTATTCGAAATAGTGGAGGTGTATACTAAACCCATCAAATTTTCCCTGTATAAATATAATATTTGAATTGTTACAATTTAAAATATTGTAGTAAATATTTGTATTATTCGCGTTGTTTATTTAATTTAATATAGTTTTATTGTTTTATTATCTTTGTTTAATTCTTTTGTTAGTTCTATTCAGTTAATTAGTTAGTGATATTTTAAAGTTTATTATTATGGATAGTCAAAGTTTTCCATTTGTTCCATCAGCTAATGCGTTGGTAAGTTTTTCTTAATAAATATGATAAAATGTTTTTTAAAAGTTAATATTTTTAGATTAGTTGTTTCTAATTTAATATAAACTTGTTTATACTTACATGGAGGTTTTTGTTGTTTGTTTGGGTTTATATGACTGCAGACTGCGGCCAGGACACCACAGATCACCTGGAGTGGTCTGTGCAGGACACTGAATTCATTCACCATATGTGGAAGATTTTAACATCCTCAAATGCTAATGAGCAAAAATTACTATTGAACCACGAATTTGCCTAGTCAAATTACTAATATTTGCTTTTAGCATATGGAAGTACACTTATTTTGTAAGATAATAAAACAACAGTTTATGTTAATGTTATCCAATGAACTGTTAATCTTTAATCATTGATTCCATCCTAGTCACAACATAAGGAACTTGCTATGTCTTATTTAACCTCACTTTGACTTTTTAATTTTGTAGAATTTATTCCCACTTTTTTTATTTTGTACAATAAATAATTGTATTATTTGCTATCAATACATTATACGGTGTAAATAAATAAATATTGATTGTCGGCAAAGTTCTATTTTATTTACTTTTGTTTACATTAATATTGACTAAGAGCACGTATGCTTGGTTGTATAGTAATTTCCAGCAGCCACTTCGAATCTGTCAAAAAGTAACTAACTTCGCAAAAAAATAATTACTAAAATCACTAGACAGTTCGGACTGGGAATAGCGAACCGGGTATATCAAATAATGATCAAAGCACAGCCACAGCAGCACATACGTCTACGCTTGGAACACGACGTGGGAATGGGAATAGACACAGCCACCTTTACTTCCAAGCCATGAAGTAAAAAAGGCAACACCGCATTCTATGACGTCGGTAGTCCGATAATCAGCTGTAAGGTCTACCAGAATATTAAACTAATTTGAATTTTAGGAAACTGATATTTTGAAAACTTCAATTCATTACAGAAACATTTTTAGGGAAATTAAATTAATAAAACCTTATATATACCTAGTAAATATATATAAAGTTTTATTATTATTTAGGTTATATTATCAATAAAATAATCTCTAGAGTAAAATTTATTGCACTTAAAATACAGTGTCAAACAGTTAATCTTACAATCAAATGCAGTCAAGAATCTCTAGAAATTTTAAATATTAAGTACTTAAGCATATATAAATAATACAATACATTAACACGACATTTAAAAAGATTATTAAAAATACAAAAGATATAAAATTTGTGCTAAGTAAAAACTTAGTGTAACTATTATGATTAAAAAATTCATCCTAAGAAATCAGACACAATATAAATATGGTTCTAAATTAATCTAATTGAAAATTAAATATTTTACTATTTACTTATAACTTTTGTTGAATTTTCATACTTAGATATACAAAAGTAGCAATTTTAAATATGAATAGGTTTGTTGTCATATAGACCAAGTTAAAAGAGGTATACATGAAAAATGTGTTGAATGTAACATACCATTTATAACTTGTATATCGATTTAAAATAGCCTATATTCTCAAAAGATTTTTGAATGTAATACTCAAATTTGTTATCTCTTATCTAAAAAGCAGATCTAAATGAGAAAGTAAGTTCTTTAATTGTGACCATCTTGTTAATTTACTATATTGTAAAATCCATTTCAAATCATTACCACTTAATATATTCTTACCTACATTGACGATTACACTAAAATTACTGCTAACTATTACACTACATATTACACAAATATTATCACACTTGTGTCCCAACTGATTAATGTTTAATACATAGAAATATACACAGTCACTTGTAATTTTACTTGTCCAGTTTTTCAATGGGATATTATTGTCTAAGTCTAATTGACATAATTATGTTATCTCTTGTTCCCTCTTCTTATGCAAAAAGTTTCTTCCGTCTTCAGGATTCCTTCTTTCTTTAGTACGATGAACAGTTACATATGATGGTACTTCAGGAAATATATTAGGAACTGCATTGCCTTTTAATTTGGGAAATATTAACTTTTCAATGTGTACATTTCCATCTTTATCTTCTCATTGTTCAGTGCGCTGAATATCATCTTCATGAAAATGTTTGGCACATACTACGGAAGATTTGGTAATTGTACAGCCTTCTCTATGAATAGAGCATAACCCAGTATACCTTCTTTGGGGATCTTTGGGAAACAAAAACGTACTTTCTGCCTGTTTCGTTTTGAAAGTCACGGCATAATTGGTTTTGCAACCAGGTACACAACAATGCCAGAGCATCTGTAACAAAAAACAAAAGTATTATTATTGTTGTTTTTAGTTTACATCTTTTGTAACAAGAAGTAAAAGTATTATTATTTTCAGTTTGTTTTGTAGGTTATATTAATACTTGCCTTTTAAATTGTCGTTAATAATCTTCTAAAAGTTCTAAATTTAATGAAATTTCACTTATATTAATATTTTCTAATTGATTTAAACACAATTTACAAATAAAACATTCGAATAAAGTTAAAAAAACAATAAATTCAACAAACTTTACAAGCCTCCCTATATGAAATGTTAAACCAAAACAAACCACAGTCGGACTACCACGCGTTGTTGCCAAATTTCTACTTCATGGCTTGGAAGTAAAGGTGGCTGTGGAATAGACGAAGACGGATAACAAAACAAAAATAAATCTTAGAATGATGACATTTAAGTTTACTTAAGATAGGCAATACACATTACAGACAATTTTAAATGACCAATATTTTTCAATATGTAATAAGTAGTAAATAACACAATTATTTTTTATACTACGTATTAATATTTTATTATTTAGGCAATGAGTTTTAGGTTATCAACATAACATACATATTTAATCAAATAAAAATAATAGACTATTGTCTTATTAAGGAGCGGCGGTGGTTCCTATAGGTCATTAAATGGGGTCAATATAGATTTAAAAAAGGTTTTGTGTGTCAGGTCAATTAATCTATTTTTTTAACACAAAACTGATGACTTTTTCATTATTTCCTGTAATTAATATCTTTTATGCGCTTATTATTTTTATGCGCTTCATAGTCAAATTCTTCATAGACATCTGGGCGTCGATATCATGTTTCTGAAAAAAATATATTTTTTCACTCTAAAATATTTAACCCTATAACAAAATTTCATTCTTAAAATATGCTTTACTTGTTAGATTTTCGGCTTCGTTGATAGGTTTTTCAAGACCTGGGTCAGTTTTGACATCAAGCTTATTGACCTCAGAGTGTTTTCCTGTCCGGTTTTGTCAAGTTAGGGTATAAAAGCTACCCTTATGAGCCTCCATGCTTTTGGTATATATCCGAGTCCTAAGCTAGCCTGTCGTATAACACAATTTTTTTTGTACAGAAGATAATTTACCTTCTGCAGAAATAAGATAAATCCTGTTCAATCCAGGTGATTTATATGGCTCAAATATTTTATTCTGATCTACCACATGTAAGTGTGACATTCCCTTACAACCATTAGTTATGGTCTCCAGTCCAGTCTGATACCATGTGAATTAGTGGTGTTAGTTTTGTTTTAAACTCAGGAAAGTGCCCCATGAAAAGTTCTTACAGAGTCTCTTTGCCATTCTGAGTGTATTTGTCTGACTTCTTGTGAAGTGAGGATATACTTATTTGGGGAATCTCAGTGAGAACTTGATATTTTTTATGTCTGTTCTATGTGCTTGCAATGTCTTCTGTACGATTTTCTTCTTACCTCGCATAGTTCCTTATTATATTCAGTCAGAGTTTTGCAATAATTGTCTCATAAACCTGATCTTTTGCGAAATTGACTTTCCCTCTGACTTGTTTCCTTTGATTTGTAAGGTTATTATTCCAGCAGAACAATTTTCTATTGGAATCTTTCACTATTTCTGGTCAAGTGTCTTTGAATGCCAACATGATAACCTCTTTAAATTGCTTGACAGCCATGTCTACATCCAGTTTATAGTTTATTACTCTTTCTTATCCATCAACTATTTGTACGTAATTTCATAGAAATTCCGACAAACATTTAAAAGAAATATTTCATTTAGGTACTGATATAGCTAGTTTATTATTTTATATGTATAAAAAATATATATTTAAACAGGTACCCCTAGACAGTGATAACCTCAGTGATTTACCTCAACACCAAATAAGGTTTAATCAAAATGTGCAATATGTAGAATATGAAATGTATATTTTATATTATTTACAAAAACTAAACAATTAAATAATCTAAAGTATTCCTAATTACTTCTCAGATGAGGCCACCTGCTTCAATGGTCCTTCTAAATACAATGCCAAAGCTGTTGCTTTCTGTTTTAACATACCAAAGCCAACCTCACCATTTGCATAAAGACAGAGCAGTAAATTGGCTACTTTTGTTATGGCTATACGACCTTCTTGGCATTCCATAAGGATTATCTGTGGATGGTCCTCTCGAAAAACATTTCGACCATTTCTCTCATAGGCACTCCAAATATTGCTTGCTATTGCTGCAGTTACTCTGGGGTCTTTATCTCCGTAACCACTGTATGCTAAAAGGGAGCCTTCTGAATTCAGTAACCTGTAATCGAAACATTGTTAGAATCAGGCCTGGATTTTAAATCATCTTAAGTGCCATAATGCCAGAAAAATGTGAAATTTGAGGCAAAAGTGCCATACGATAAACAAGGAAATAAAACTACTACTTCTTCAATGATTTTTTTACTTTAAAATTTCAACAATTTAAAAGATTTTTGTATATCCTTACTAGATTCAAAATATGTAGTACTTACAATGTTGTTTCCACACCACCAGTATTGGTTTGGCTTAATACTTGAGTTAAGGCTTTGGGTTTTAACATTTTGGACATTGTAATTTAATCATAAATATAAAAAACTACAAAATTATCTGTTATTTGATGACACTGTTCAATCAGCTGTCTGATAATGACATGAGACATGACATATTACCACGGTTGGTGACATATTACAACATTACACTGACACTTGACACAGTTCATTACTTTATGAAAGTTGACTATTTGAAATGATTTGAAAGAATTCTGACAGTTAATCTGTTTATAGAGTTCTGTAAATACAGCCACAGAATACTAAAACACATTCTGTGATAAAATTACTCTGTGATACAACCAAAGAATATAGACGCTTAGCGTCTATATTCTTTGATACAACTATCTAACACTAGATGTCAAGTATATAAAATTAAATTAAAAACAAAACTGTAAAAAGAAATTAGCAAAAAAAGACTATAATATATTCATAGTATTTATTTAGACAAGGCGAAGAACTCGGGTTCGTTCGGAAAAATATTCCCATGAGATTTTTTTGCATAATCACTTTCATTCATTCAATCACACATCAAAACAATGTTTAAAAATTGTAACAAATTTTTTGGACTCCATAAATTTTTTTGTGAGTTCTTTGGATTATTCTAAACAAAATAAGTCTTTCTTAGTTTTTTTGTAAACTTGATCGTTTTCGTGGTATAAATAATTTAAAACTGAGAAAAACGTAAATTTGCGATTTTCAAGGCTCAAAAACACAATTACTATTTAACTGGGAATAAGCCACAATTAAAGGTAAAAATACGTTTATTGACGTTTTAATTTCCACTTCGGAAATCGTTCTCAAAATACAAACAGTAAATTAAACAAATTTTGTTTTTTGTTACTTAGTGAAAAATTCTTCTAATAATTTAATTTTATCTGACTCATTTATATTGACAATTCATATATATATATATATATATATATATATATATATATATATATATATATATATATATATATATATATATATATATATTTTAGTGGATTCTCTTGGGCTTAGGTTCATAAAAAAAAATTTAGTTTGATACTAAGACATTTTTATATATATTTTTTCCGACGTTTCGGCAGGAAATCCATGCCTTTTTCAAGAATATATATTGACTAAAAAAAAAAACATTCCATGACAGACATAATATGGTTTAAAAAATAACCTTTTGACTTACCAAGCATGTAAAGATTTGGTGTTAACAATTAGACGTCACAATTAAAATAATTTTAAAACATAGGACATGTTCTTCTTTCTAAACATAATATTACGGTTGCTCATAAAGGTCACAATCTTTTAAAAAGGAATTTTACAAGATTGAAAACAAAAACCCCTCTATTAAAAAGATCACATGTTGTATATGAAATTCCCTGCTCGAATTGTGATGGAGTTTATATTGGACAAACCAGTCAACTACTTAATTCAAGAATACGTTCCCACAAATATGACAAAAAAAACTCAACCGCCCTCACAAAACATGAAAACGAAAAAAAACATAAATTTGATTTTGAGCAAACCAAGATCCTAAAAAGTGAAGCCAACAGGAAGAAGAGAGAGCTTCTAGAGTCTATACAAATAAAAAAAAATAATAACGCAATAAATGATAAAAAAGATGTCAAAAATTTGAACAAAATATATTTTAACTTAATTTAAATACACATAAGTCAATCTCAGAACGCCTATGATGTTAAAATAACTGATTGTTTAAACGATAAGCTAACATCAATAAACAACACATTAGATTTAAAATACATTTTACTTTTAGTGACTTAGTGGGTATGTCCTATGTTTTAAAATTATTTTAATTGTGACGTCTAATTGTTAACACCAAATCTTTACATGCTTGGTAAGTCAAAAGGTTATTTTTTAAACCATATTATGTCTGTCATGGAATGTTTTTTTTTAGTCAATATATATTCTTGAAAAAGGCATGGATTTCCTGCCGAAACGTCGGAAAAAATATATATAAAAATGTCTTAGTATCAAACTAAATTTTTTTTATGAACCTAAGCCCAAGAGAATCCACTAAAAAATATATATTAAGGTTCAAGAACTAAACTCAAACTATATATATATATATATATATATATATATATATATATATATATATATATATATATATAATATATATATATATATATATAATATATATATATATATATATATATATATATACTTCATCTAATTTAGATAACGACTTACGTCATTATCTACGTCAGAGATAGAAGTTGACATGGTTGCCAAAGTATAAAAAAAACCTGACTCCATTTTAAATCAAATAGGTCACATAATTATTGCAAAAGTATTACCATCTCTTTACAACGACTATTTAAATTCTTAAGTGACATTTTTAAAATAAAACACACTAATTTTGTTCTAAAAAGAACAGATTTTATTAAATAGGTAAAAATATAAAACAAGAGGTATTCACTTTAAAATTCAAAATAATAAAGTACAAAAAGTGTCATTACCGCAACTGTCAAATAAGTGTTACCAATTTATGACAAAATTTTACCTTCGTTCGATTACAGTTACAGTGTGTTCCGAACAAATGTTCTTGATAAAAACTCTTTATAATGGATTTATACAAATTAGATGAAACATATTATTGTGTATTTCTTTAAGTTAACATTAATAGAAATTTTTAAATATTATTTCTACGCGTATATAATAAAATATGCCTAGTGGCTGTAATGCCAGTGTACTCGGTAAAGTGATTCTAAAAAGAACACACCTAAACCACAGAATAATAAACAAACAGAATACCCACTCTCCACGGAAAATTAAGTACGCGCATCTCTTCCGCGCAGACGTTCCGCCATGTTTTAGGAGGATTTTAAAGAAATTAGTGTTGTTTATGTGGTGTGCATGGAAAAATTAACCAGATTTATTTGACTTACGGCAATCATAGAGATACTATACAATTATATTAACATTGTTAAATATAATAACATAAATATAATATAATTAAACATAAATATAAACAATTACATAACCACACAAATCATATGTCTGTGTCCTCCTAAAACATGGCGCGCGTGCTGAAAAACTTCAAAGGCGGCATCTGAGAGTGGCCCTTCTGATTGTTTATTATTCTGTGCCTAAACTCTAAATATTTCGTGTTGGTATCATATGACGTCACAGGCTATGACGCCGATGACGTGCATCGTTATATAAATTAGATGAAGTGTATATATATATATATATATATATATATATATATATATATATATATATATATATATATATATATATATATATATATACTTTAGATAACGACTTACGTCATTATCTACGTCAGAGATCGAAGTTGACATAGTTGCCAAAGTTTAAAAAAATCCTGACTCCATTTTAAATCAAATAGATTACATAATTATTACAAAAGTATTACCATCTCTTTACAACGACTATTTAAATTCTGACGTGACATTTTTGAAATAAAACACACTAATTTTGTTCTAAAAAGAACAGATTTTATTAAATAGTTAAAAATATAAAACAAGAGATATTTACTTTAAAATTCAAAATAACGAAGTACAAAAAGTGTCAATACCGCAACTGTCAAATAAGTGTTACCAGTTTATGCTAAAATTTTAGCTTTGTTCGATTACAGTTACAGTGTGTTCCGAACAAATCTTCTTGATAGAAACGCTTTATAATGCATTTATACAAATTAAATGAAACATATTATTGTGTATTTCTTTAAGTTAACATTAATAGAAATTTTTAAATATTACTTCTACGCGTATATAATAAAATATGTCTAGTGGCTGTAATGCCAGTGTACTCGGTAAAGTGATTCTAAAAAAGAACACAGCTACACCCTAAATATTTTGTGTTGGTATCATGTAACGTCACAGGCTATGACGCCGATGACGTGCATCGTTATATAAATTAGATGAAGTGTATATATATATATATATATATATATATATATATATATATATATATATATATATATATATACAGTATAGGTAAAAGTTTATGGTCGGTATGTACCTTACGTGAGATTGAGTGAGAAACACCTTTTAAAAAGAGAGAGGCATATTAGATCCGCCCTTTATATCGTCGAAATAGCATTAGCGGAACTAAGAAAAGAGGAAAAGTTCAACCTTGTCAAACTTATTGGTTTTATTTGACCTGTTGTCTTTTTAGCATTTTAACAACGTTTTAATATAATCAAATTTGGGCAAATTGATTTAAATGGCAGCTTACTGTTTTTTATTTTAAATATGCCACAATTTTCCTCTACAATAAGTTTAATTTAACGTTTTGATTTCCACTTCGGAAATCGTTTTATATAAATAAAATTGATTAATGTTTCGAGTTTTAAGTACGATTTCCGAATTAGAAATCTAAACATCAAAATAAGCTCATTTTAAAGTCACATTGTGCCTCATTCGCAATAAAAATAATAAAATGCAATATGACACCACAATACAAAAAGTTCTTTCATAATTATTTGGCAACGTCGAGCTTTTAAACTAAGGACTCCGAACTACGAAACGAACTGTGTTCGTAGTTCTCTGACGTAACGAGAAAAACAGTAGAGATGAGAACTGCTTTTCGTAAACAAGTAACAAGTTGAAAAACTAATTAAAATATTTAATCCAGTACATAAACAAACATGCTTTCTTGAATAAAAAACAATATATTGAAATACTTTCAACGGATTTTCAAATTTGCTGTAGTTGATTTATAACTAAGTTTTTCTTTGCAAAATTTGCAGACAGCCTTCTCACTGTTAATGTCTTTCTCAAAGTGATGCCATAAAATACTAATATCTTTACGCGCAGACATGTAAACACACAATTAGTTAATAAAGTAAATATTTATTTAGCACGCACAGAATAAATTCACATTTACGTTAAACAAAACACTCTCACACAACTCCAAATAAAAATTTAGTTTGCTGAATAATATAAAACGTGAATCGGGGGCTCTCATGTGTTAATATTTCAAATCAAAAATAATCGATCATTGTAAAATTCAGAAAGTCGAGCATAAAACCTGCATCTTCTACAAATGTGCATTTTTTGAAAATACAATTATTACGCTTGTACTAGGTAAATGATTTTAACTAAGAAAAAGA